GGGAAAGATCTTAAACCAAGTCAGTCTACTTCTGCAGCTAATAACAGCCAGCAGTTCTGAAAACAAGTCACAGTTCATGAAGCCAAGAGTTTACGTGCGATTTGCACCTTCTGGTATTTGATAATCAGAGTAGGAAAATTTATCTTTACATCTTGTGGCGAGTTACCCAGAAGGAACCATGAAGAACTTGTTCTCTCTCCCTTCGAGCACACAGGGAACATTGCTGCTGAGGAAGGGATAGTGTCACCTCTGCTGCCAACGTGACCCAGCTCAGGTCCTGCTCCCCACCATCACTCTGTCCCCGTTCCCCCAGTCTGGGTGGGCACAGACAAGAGCCTGAGCCCATCACAGGGACGAGGATGTGGCAGCTACAGCCCGTCTTAAGCTCTACGGTTGCCATGCAATGGAAGTGCTGCAGGAGAACTTGCACACAAAACTATGTTTTTTCACAGCCTTTATATTGGTTATTCCCCCCCATCCCGACACACGAAAGATTAGAAAGGAAAACCACCCAAACCCCACAGTTATAAAAGGCAGCAGGGAAGGGGGGAGAAGGGAAATGCTAACGTTAAATCCTCGCACGCAGGTTTTAAATAAATAATTATGAGCGCCCTAAACTGGTAGAAGTTTGAATATGCTGGAAAAAGCCAACAGGTTTACAGACTTATTTGCATACACTGTACAAGAGCCATAATCTGCTGCTGGAAAACACCCACCCAGGACACCCAACACATCCTCCCCACAGCCAAGTTCTTCCTATTGCCTTAACAAGATTGAACTGCAGTGTTGTTGGTTGGTTTGGGTTTTTTTTTCCATGTGTAATAAATGAAGTTACATTTCACCATCGTTAACAAATTCTGATACTTTCAGCACAACAGGGTTATTCCCTGCATGGAGCAGGGTTCATCCAGCACATCACCTTCAGACCTGCTTGAGCCTCTGCCCAAATAACTCCTGCGAGCAGCAACCAGCAGCCCCAGCATCCCAACCCCACAGTGACAGCACTCAGCCATCCTGAAGACCTGGGACTACCACACAGGTTTGGTTTTTTTTTTTTCCAGTTGGACTGCAGTAATTGTTCATTTATATAGCCTTTCAAATGATCAAAAATTAACTTGGAATTCACTGCATTTCAGAACTTGAACACTTTAAACTTCTCTATCATTCCAACAAATCGGCGTTATTGAAAGAAACTGAGCAGGGTTCTGTGAGTGACCCCTGAACTGTAGATGTGTTCAACAATTTTTTTTTTTTTATACTAAAATAAAAAAAAACAACGCCCACACCCATAACATGTAGTTCAAAAGTGAATAATGATTTTGGTTTTATATATATATATGTGTATATATATAACATGCGTAGAAATGAACAGTTAACTGCATAAATACATTGTGTTATGAATCAAATCAAAGCAATTGCCAAGCTGAATAATAATAAGTTAGAGAAATGACAACTCTGGCTTTATATATATATTTATAAAAATAGATATGAGTGTTCTCAAAGCAGTTGATAGAGAATGCCTACGGAGGAAGAAGTCGCCAAGGGTTATCTGGCTAAGAAATCAGAAGATGAAAATTTTCACAGTTATTTTAACTGCCACTTACATTCATTCTAATGGCAACACTAGCATATATTACTAAGATGTTTACGGCATATTATCACAATTGAGTTTTCCAGTGTTCACAACTTACGACTTTAAATTTGTTCACTTGCTAGTCACTAAAAAAAAAAAGAGAAGAAAGGAAAAAAAAAACAAAAGGTGTGATTCTTACTGCTGGAAGCTACTTTTCCCTAGCACTTTATACAGAACTTTGAACCCTGGCATGCTGATTTTGGCAGATTAATACACTGAATTTTCCTAGTTTGGTCATTTATGGTAATCACCTTGAAACTTAACCACTTACTACACAATAGTGTTGCAAATTAAGTCAGCATACAGCTAGGCAAGATGCCACCTCTCAAGTAGCTTCTCTGAGCACAAGGAGTTTTAACTTTTTGCCTTTTAATTCTGCTTTCAACAGTTAAAAAAAGTCAGTTACTACCGATCAGGTGTAAACAACGAGTTCCTAGCACACACAAACCCTGATTTCTAGTGTACAGCTTCCAACACCCTACTCCAAAACACCAGGATAGGTCAGCATAGAGAAAACCAGCCAGGTCTCCGATGCACGAGCTGTTCCGAGGTCAGCTGAACCCTGCTGGGGTTGCTGCAGCTCCCAGCTGCAAGGCAGAATTCCACGTCTGCAGCTGGAATTCCGAGCTCTTTGCCTGGGACACTTGCACCAAGTACTGTGTGTAGCCCCCCATCAACCCTAGACTGGGCCTGGGCCTGCCTCAGGAAAACACACCGAGAGAAATGCACAAAAGTCTGTGATAAAGAGATTAGAGAAAGTAACAAGCAAGGAAAAAAAAAAAAACAGAAAAACAACAAACCACCAAACCTAAGAAGTTGCCCTCAAAAGGAGGCAAGGAAAAAGGGCCAATTAAAAACTCTGACGTGCTCCCTTCTGCCTCCTTCCAATTGCATCTAGAAAACAATTTCTGCTGTCCACATGCTCTGATCTACAACCCAGTATCCTGTAAAAATTAATACTTTAAAAAGCTTGCCGAACCAATTATTAGTAAGGTCAAGAGACTCTACTTCAAACTGGAAACACAAAGTTTACTACAGTAGTACATTCAGTTTTTCTCATCAGTGACCAAGTCCTGACAACAGTTTCTGGCTGCACTCACTCCACTCACACCGACCAAGCACCTCAGCTGCAGATGTGCTCTGCAGTGCAAGGCCATCAACGGCAGACACATCATCCAACAAGCCAAATGTTAAATAGGTTAAAAAAAGTTCTAATTTTACAGAAACGCTCATTTTTCAAAAAATAATATTCTCTTATCCTTTTCCTCCTATGCTGAGGGACAGGTTAAATTTGTCAATTCATATTCTTTCACTTCGTCCAAACTCTAGTTTCACAACCCCAAAACTGATTTCAAGCAGAAAACCCTCTGCAAATTAAAAACAAAAAAATACAAAAATTATAATCTCTATATTTATATTGATTGGAATCCTCCAGCATTTGCGAAATCACTTTCAGAGATGAATTTTGGGACCCTCCACAAACTTTTCCACACAAGCCACGCTCCAGTTCTGTATTCCCCTTCATGAATACTCCTTTCTCACAGTCTCCTTTGCTGCGTACTTGTCCACAGCTCAAATTAAGTAGAGAATAACTGGCTGGGCAAGTGTTACTTTGGTGACCGGGGTGGCACGTACTGCTCCTTGCCGATACGTCGAGGTGCTCCCTGAGGCGACGATCTGCGTCCAAACTGGCGCCTCTGTTCCCTGATTTTCCCAGCAGCTCCCCGGGGAGGCCCGTTGCCTCGGAACCCCGAATAATCCTTCATTCGACCTTCCACCTTCTCCTGAGCCCTCTCCGGCGCCTTCTCCGGCGCGCCGTTCTCCTCCGTTTTGGCAGGGGGAACGATGTTGGTGCGATGCTCCCGAAGAGGCTGAACGGGAACCGGAGGAGGCTCCTTGGGGGGCTTCTGGCAAACTTCAGCATAGCTCAGCTTGCGTGGCTCCTTTGGGACCAAGGGAGAAGAGCAAGATTTACCCGCAGGAATACCCACGCTGGGCTCTTCCAGAGCGTCCCAGGCACAAGAGAGGAACACAACAGCCGGAGATCAGGCCACAGTGCCAGCCAGCTGCACAGCAGTGGCTCCTGGGCGCTCCACCAGCCCTCCCCAGGGGAGGGTCCCCACCCAGCCCCTGCCCCGGGCTCACCTGCACTGCCACGGCAGGAGCTGCACCCACATTAGCAGGAGGGGAGGTGGGATTTGTCCTCGGCGGCTTCGCAGCGCTGACCGGAGACACGGACACCGGGGGGGACACGTGGCTTGCGACGTCTTTCTGAGCAGACACTTCTTCTGGCTTGCTGTCTGGCTGAGGAGCTGTGCTGCTAAATCAAGGACAATTTAACATTAACACCAACGAACACAAATTAACGTTTGACAGTTTTCTTTCTCTGAAGTCACAACTGCATTTTTCACAGAACAGAACAGTGCAGCCACCACTGATTTGATTTGTTATTCCCATCCAGTGGCCTCTAGAGAAGCCACACACCACAGAGACAGAACAACCAACAAACTTTATTGCCACCTTGCCAGGCAGCAGCCAGAGTCTTTGCTCAAATATGCACATTTTAGTATTCTCAAGTAATCTGCATTACCTTAACACCACGGCTTCAGTCTGACTTGGTGAACTCACACTTGCCACGGGCTGTGGGACAGTGCTGTGCGTCTGTTCCTCCTGAGCAGGAGCCGGGGAGCTGGGCAGCAAATCTTTGCTTTCCTGCAGAGAAAGCATCAGTTGCAAAACACAGAAAGGTCACAGAAGTGCCCAAATTCCTCCTCAATATGCCAGCTCAGGACATCTGAGAAGCGGGATATTTCCAAGTCCTGATAATAGGAATGCTACTTCTTTTGGGGCATCGCCTTAAAGTTACCACCCTTTATATGGGTGAAATAAATAGTGGATAAAAAAATGAGGGTGTATCACCCAGATTATTAATGCCTAGTACCAGCAACTAAAACAACAGACTCATCTGGAAACAGCCCCTGTCTGCACCACCCACAAACCGCTCCTCATCTGCCTGCTCTATTCCAAAACAGCACCAAGCTTACAACAGTGTAATTACAGAAGGGACATCTGAGAAGCGGGATATTTCCAAGTCCTGATAATAGGAATGCTACTTCTTTTGGGGCATCGCCTTAAAGTTACCACCCTTTATATGGGTGAAATAAATAGTGGATAAAAAAATGAGGGTGTATCACCCAGATTATTAATGCCTAGTACCAGCAGCTCAAATAGACTCATCCAGAAACAGCCCCTGCCTGCACCACCCACAAACTGCTCCCTGCTCTATTCCAAAACAGCACCGAGCTTACAACAGCTTAGTTACAGAAGCTTCAGCTAAATATCCACAAAAAGCCAAGGAAATCAAGAACAAAAGAGAGATACCACACTACTCTATTAACAAATATCGTTTTGGGCTGAAGCACTGGAACGTGCAGCTCTGCTGTGACCTGATTTGCAAGCAGGGAGCATTCCACTGCGTGCTGGTACCTTCTCCTTGCAGACTCCTTTAACAACGTCAGACATCCTGCTCTCCAGCACAGGCTCTCCTGGTATTTTTGCTGTGCTGCCAGGCAAAGGGGGGAAATTTGATGCTAGCAAGTCAAACTTTGGTGTCTGTGTCTTTGTTTCTCCTGAAGGCTGAGGTCTCTAGAGAAGAAAAATTGGACGTTAGTAGAACTGTAACATCTCGCCTTGAAAGTAGCAACTTTTAAGTCAGGGGATTTCCTAAACACATGAAATACCCACAATATAGTATGAGAACTTAAGGCCTACGCCATTCCTCCAGCAAACACAAAGGCAACACGTCGCACTTTGTGCAACCCCATGCAAAAAGGGAAGTGGGACTCACAGAAACCCGGTCGTCTTCTCGCCTCCTCCGGCCTCGGAACACGTTCCTCCTTTAAAGGCAAAGAACCAGTCAGGAAGTGCACTCAGGCAGCCGAGCCACGCGCTCCTGTGCACACAGGGCATTTACAGCAGCCTGCTGACGTTTCTCAAGGTACAGTTCTGGGATCTCCTCCATCTTCAGGAGGGGTCAGAGCTCTTACACTCTTAGAACACAGCCAGCACAGAAAACAATGTCTGTAGGTGCCCTAGAGCATTGTCTCTGAACAAGCACAGTGACAATCAGACTGTAAGATTATAGAATGTATTCTACAATTTTACAGTAATTTATTAATCCAATTTCTCACCTAATCTGTCTTGGCCACTTAAGTATCTAAACCCTGGATTAACAGACAAAAGATAAAACTAGTTGATCTCACAAAGTTTAGGAGCATCAAATTCCCCAACTGAGGGCTCATTATTATTTTACATGATACAAATATCCACTTTACTTCAGCAACTGGGGTCAGACTAGGCAATTATTTTGAAACAGACACCTCACTTAGTGCCAGGTGTTTGTCAGAATAACTGGAAGCCATAGAGTTGAGCGGGAAGCATTCACACTTCCAGTTAAGTATTTATCACACCTTGTTTATTTAAACATCAGTTTTCTCCTGGTCAGTCTTCACAGAAATGTGTTGTGCTGGGGGTTGATGACCCTTGGGTCTCACAAGCCACCTGAACCTCCAACCCCAGGCCTCAGCTGCCCTGTGGCGTTCCAGGCAGCAGCACACACGGTTCTTTACCTGCCCCTGCCGACTCCATAATCTCCGTTCTGCTCCGGCTGGGCGCTGGGACAATCCTTCTGGGAATAACCCTGGTCTTGGTGCCCGGGGAGCGTGCTGCCGTGTCGCTCCATGACAAAGCTCCTGGAGCTGGTTCTGCTCAGAGGCCCGTCCCCTGCGGGCGCGGC